CCACCTTAGGTATATGTGGCTGGCGCCTTAGCCACTTGAGCACAGGCGCCAAGCCAACAGGACCTCTTTCCTTGGGTTGTTGAAAGGAGACCTGAAGGAGTAATGCATCCAGGGTGCTTGGCACACTCGACATTTCTAAGTGCTCCACAAATGTCAGCAGCTGTAATTTTTGTTAACTGACGTGGAAACCTAGTCCTAGTGTGAGGTGGCCTCTAGCAACCGGGAACCAAGCTCTAAGCCTCCTCCTGGGTCCCCACATTCGCAGACATGTGTACACCCCTCACACAAGCCACGCCCCATATTCTTTGAATCTGCAGTCCTGGAATTTATTGTCCCTGGAAATCACATCGAAAGACAAGGAACTGCCTTTCTTTCCAGACTCAGTTTCCCTATCTGGAAACTGAGAGGGCTAGTCTGCTCTAGAGGCTCTTGGGAGGATGTGGGGGAAGAGGCCAGAGGGGCCTGAGCCCCATCCTGTGTATGGAAATAGCAAAGAAGTTTCAAAACAGAGCCACGACAGTACATTTTTATACTTTTGATTTAAAGGGTTAATGTTATTTACACTTACCCCCAAATAAAAGGCAATTGACTTAAGCCACTGACAAGAGAATGAGAAACCCTTTTAAGAAATACTGATTTACGTGCTATAATGCGCTGAGGCCAGGACATGTTTATACAAAATAATATCTACATGTTGGCCACCTCTTTGTAAAATTCTGTAATGAATATTTGCAAATAAAGCTACATTTAGCTATAATTTCTTGATTCCCTATGTTTGGCAACTTCATGGGTGACCTCTGGGACACCCTGTATTTCCTGATGGGCATCTTTTTAAAATCCAGCTGAGGGGCTTTGCAATGGGAGGGTCTCACTGAGTCTAAATTAACCATCCATGGGAGGTCTGAGACACCCCTCACCCCCTACACATACAAGGCCCTGAACTTTCCTAGTTGGTCTAGGATCTGACCTGCCAAGTCTCTTTTAGTTCTACAGCATCTCAGGACTTTCTCATCCAGGGGAGGAGAGAGGGCAGGAAGGTGTTAATTTGAACTGAGTTCCCCTTTCCGTTAGTAGGAAGAGTGGGGTCTGATTGCTATAGAAGAAGCCAGGCAGGGCCCACCTCTCTGTCCCATGGCCACGTGGAGGACTAAGAAAACCAAACAGACTCTCCCAGAGTGGAGAGGCCACATAGAAGGTGAAGCAGGTGTTATTTCTACCATTAGCTGACCACTTAGTGTGTGCCAGTTCCTTTACAAACATTGCCTTCAGTATAACACAACAACCCTGCAAAAGAAGTTTCCCCTCATTTTATTATGAAGAAACTAGGGCTCAGGGATGAAACGGATTTAAACCCAGATTGACTGCATCAAACTTCATTGCCTTCTTTCCACTCTGTCAAGCCACCTGCCTTCTGAGCTAGTGTTCACTTAAAAGTTTTCTTTAAATTAACTGTTTGTTTTAATATGTTTATTAAACATAGTTAAGTATGTTTATTAAACTACTTTAATATGTTTATTTTAAAAGAAAGCCCTCTATGGCCATGGTAAACAGGAAACCAATGCCACCTGTCAAAAAAAGAAGACAAACTTACAAATACAAACAGTACCAAAATATAACAGTGTTAGTAAATTGTAGCCAGTTACTGTTGCCAGAACAGAATGTATGAGCCCAAGGTTTAGGGTCTATTTAAAAGGCAGATGATACGTGTATTTAGCTAAAAGAAAAACAAATAAGTGAATAAAAATAAGAAGGCAAATCATCAAAGTGTTAAAAGCATGCAAGCACAGAGAAGCCTTTGTCCTGTTGTCACTGGAACTATTGCAAGATCACTGGAAAAAGGAATTTTGTTCTCACTCTGTGATTCAAAGCCAAGCAATGCCTCCTCCCTGTGTCATTATCTCCCGAGCCACCTGCTGCTGGGGCGTGGGACAGACTGGGAAGAGCATGGCCAGACATGGAGTTGCCTCTTCAGGGTCCAGGGAAGGAATGGGCTGAGGCTCCCCTCCCTTGTTTGCAAACCTCTCCAGGGCCCCACCTACCTGTCGCATTCACCGGCTACCTGCTGCTCCCTCTTTTCTCTCTTTATACTCTGTTCCTCTGGCAGAAACCTGCCTTATACCTGCTTGTCTCTCCTGCTTTTGGTGTTTCAGGAATAAGCTCGAATAACCTCAGCGTGGTGTAGGGGGAAAGTAAGAGTGTGTCCAATTGCATTCTGGGCCTCAGTACTTCATCTCCCTGCAGTAGTCGTCTATATCCCCACCCTAGCTGTAGCCTCATGACGGGTGAGCAAATTCCCTACCTTCACCTTGAACTCAGCTGTGTTATTTGCTTCGGTCACAGAGACATGATAGAAAGAATGAAAAGATGCTTGGGCAGTAGGGTTTGTCCTCTTGCAATTTTGCCATTTCCGTGGGCAGAATATGACTCCCAGTAGCCTACTGGTCCCAGGAAAATGAGAGACACATGGAATAATGCTACCCCCTATGTGACTGCAGCACTGCCATCTGAGACACAGCACTGATCCAGCCAGCACTGCAGACACATGACTGAGCAATGTGTGTTTATTGTTGCATGCCTCTGAAGCCCCATGGTTACTTGTTTCACAGCAATAGCTGGTTGATAAAGGGATCATCTTACATGGAGAGAGAGAGAGAGATAGAACTGTAAGGAAGGCACTTGAAGGTCATGAAGGTTGGGGGGGATTGGTTCAGGACTGGGGAGAGAAGGTAATCGAGAACTGAGTGATCTCTGTGTGTCCCCCTGGTTGGGACATCTGAAGTTCTGCGTCTTTTGTAGCCTGCTCCTGTTGACTCTTGTTCTTAGGAGGAATGACTGAGGATGTCCATGTCCTGGTTTGCCTGGGGGCAAATCTGATCCCCAGCTTTAAGATAGCTTAACAGAACCCAAAGTTGTAGCAGAATAAGTCATGGAGAGGACAATGAGGACTCTTGTCAAGCAGGATGGTGATTTTTAACAAAATATATGATTTAAGTCCACAAAGCCATGGGATCATATGATGAGAATGGATCAAATATGAATGGGATGTAAACTTCACAACCCACTTTTGGTGGGTTAGTTTAATCTTGACAGATGCCAGAGGTTTTACTAACTTTCATTCAGGAGCCATTTCCTTTGAAAACATACTGGATGATGGGCCACTAAGGGGGCCCCAGTGCCCCTCCCCCTGGTATTCATGCCTTTGTATAAGTATCTCCCCAGAGAGTGGGCTGCACTGAAAGACTTTCTTCTAATGAAATGACTAAGATGGAAGTGATGAAATGGCACTTTTATGATTAGGTTACAAAACACTGTGGCTTCTGTCTCACTAGCAGACACTCTTTACGCCTTCCAGGCTTGTATGTTTTCATGGGTCAACAAGCCCATGTGGAAAAGCCAGGAGCTGAGGCTGTCAGCCAACAGTGATCGAAGACCAGAATGCTGCCAACTCCATGTGAGCTTTGGACATGAGTCCTCCCCCAGCTGAGTCTTCAGATGAGACTTCATCCTTGCCTTACACCTTGATTAAAGCCTTGTGAGAGAATCTGTGGCAGGGGACCTAGCTAAGCCACACCCAGACCCCTGACCAACAGAAAGTGTGAGATAATAAATGCATGTCACCTTACATAGCTAAATCTTTTTTATTTTTTTGAGACAGAGTCTCACTATGTCACCCCTGTAGAGTGCTATAGCATCACAGCTCACAGCAACCTCAATCTCTTAGGCTTAAGTGATTCTCCTGCCTCAGCCTCCCTAGTAGCTAGGATCAAAGGTGCCCACCACAATGCCTGGCTATTTTTTTGTTGCAGTTGTCATTGTTGTTTAGCAGGCCCAGGCTGGGTTGGAACCCGCCAGCCTCAGAGGTGTATGTGGACAGTGCCCTACCCTCTGAGTCACTGGCGCCACCCTACATAGCTAAACTTTGAGCTAATTTGTTATCCAGCAATAGATAACTAATGTACAAACTAAGAATAGAATTAATCTCTGCTGACTCCATTGGGGGCCTGGCTGGATTCTAGATGCAGCCTTTGCATCAGTCAAGATAGGCTGGCTTTTTACACTATGATTACAAACAATCCCAAAATCTCAATGGCTTACAGCACAATTGTTGCTAGATCTTGCTCATATGATATGTCCACTCTGGGTTGACCGTGACCATGTGTTTATGTCAGCCTTACTTCAGGACACAGGCTGATGGAG